TTCTAAAGACTTGTATTATTAAAACCTTAAAACGAATTTTTTGTTACTTTTATTGTTTTCCTAAAAAAAATTCCCAAAGTTGCTGATTGATTTTTAGGCGGTCAAGGTGGTGTAACCCCTTAATAATGTTACGAATTAAATCAAAATTTTTTTTTCTCTCTATCTAAAAAAAGGCATGTTAAGTCGAACTCGAAATGTATCGTTGTTCTGGAAATTATTGTTGACTCTTTTCCGCAACGCTTATTGGTTCTCTCACCTTTAACTTCGTGAGCGGCTATCATTGCATTGACTTTTGATAGTTGTGTGTATTGAGGTTGATGTGTAATTATAGTCAATTATAATAAAAAGCATAATATACATCATGGTAAAAGTGCAGTTAAATAGCGCGCGCAAAGCGCGCGTTTGTAGTGCTAGTATTACATAAAATTAATTTTATTAAATAAATTATTTATGCAAAAGTTATTAAAAGTTATTAATCTAAAAAGTTATCTAAAATATTACGTTGCATATAAATTAAATTATTCCTTGTTTTTTTTTTTAATTTTAGTGCATATTCATGATCAAGATTTTTTGTCATTTTAAATTTCGCTAATTTTTAGCTGATATTGTACAATTCAAACATTCTTATGCAGCACAACGATTATACTTTGCTGCAGTTTTAGATAAATAACTTAGACAAATAAATGGATCCAAATAAACTTTTGCATAATTTTTTCTATTTTTTTTGCATAAATATTTATTAAAGCTTTATTAATATACAGAGTGTCCAAAAAGTTCCGGGACAACTGAATATCATGGAAAATATAAGTTTTACAGTAAAGTGTTTCGGACAAAAGTTGTAAGGTTCAAAAAGATCTACTTCACTGATTTTATTGGTTTGATCTTAGATGGCGTTGTCAGAGAAAGATCACTTTAAATTTTTTAAATAGAACTCCTATTTTTCATTGCATATCTTATAACACACCTCGAGAACTTTCCAAAACACTATAATAAAATGTTTTGCTATTAATCACATTTCAAATTATAAGGCTTGGAAGTTACAGTACTATCAACATTAGCATTATCCAAGATGTTCAAATAATGGAAACCTTTTGAATGTTCAGGATTATGAGTTTGACAACATATGTCAAGGTCATGATCATTGGAGGTTGTTGCTCTTATTTTCATTTTTGAAAAAAAAAGAGAAACAGCCATTGTTTGGATACCTTGACTAATGCTAATGCCAGTGGTACTGTAACTTTCAAGTCTTATAATTCGAAAAGTGATTAATGGAAAAATATTTTATTATAGCGTTTTGGAAAGCTCTCGAGATAAGCTACAAGAATATACAATGAAAAATAAAGGGTTCCATAAAAAAATTTAAAGTAATCTTTCCCTAACCTTGACAACGTCACTCAATATCAATCTAATAAAATCAGTAAATAGATCTTTTTGAAGTCCAACGACTTTTGTTTGAAACACTTTTCTGTAAAACTTATATTTTCTATGATGTTCCAGAACTTTTTGGATACTGTATATAAAAAGTTTTATTTAATTCGTAATGCTACTTCTTTGTTAAATTTGCAAAGAAGTACTACAAAACATGATTTTACATAAGAATCAATGCAAACAAAAAAATCAAATGATTATAAAAGAATTGTGTTCAGTTTTATATAGATACTCAGCATAATAGAACAATCTATATATTTTTAATAAAATTTATGTATTTTTGGTAATATTTTAAGATATATTATTAATTAAGGTTCTTATTTACTCATCATTATCTCAGATTGTGATGTTAACAGCGAGAAAATTCACAAAAATTGGGATATTAATTTTATAGTTAGTTAGTATAGTAAAATTGAATTTTTTACTCTTAATTAGAAATAAATTATATAATACATGTAGATCTATGACACATACATAAAATTTGTTCCAATTCCTAATTATCATTGGAGCTTTTGGACAGTCTTAATAAAAAGTAAGATATTAATGATTAATTGATAAATTAAAAATACTAATTATATGACTTTAAATGACAGAAAAAATAATAGAAGGCGTAATACCAAAATGCGAAAAGTGCAATGAAGGTATTGTAAAACCTGACATAGTCTTTTTTGGTGAAATGCTACCTGAACGTTTCCAAGAACTTGCTGATCAAGATTTCGTACAAGCTGATCTTTTAATTATTATGGGATCAAGTTTAGTAGTACAACCTTTCGCATCGCTAATAGACAGGTTTATATAGATATTTAAAATAACTTCACAATAGTTATCAAAAAAATATATGCAGTTATGAAAATATTTAACGAAAATAATTTCATTTTTAAGAGTGCGAACCACTTGTCCTCGTTTACTCATCAACAATGAAAAAGTAGGTATGCAAGATCGTCTATCACGTTTCTTGGGATTACGGCAAGGTTTGGTATTTGATGCCAAGAGTGCACATGGAGGACGCGACGTAGCTTGGTTGGGTGATTGTGATACAGGTTGTCAACTGCTAGCAGACAAACTTGGCTGGGGGGTAAAACTACATTTTTATTCTTATTGTTTATTTTGTAGTATTTCATGCTTGTGTTTTCAGAATGTGAATTAATAATTGCATGTTTAATAAATATTAAAATAAAACTTAATAAAACGTAAATTTAAACATAAACATAACTTTTTATGCATATAACAAAGGCTAATACAACTCATAATTTTAGGATGAATTGCAAACCCTCATGCAAAGAGAACACGAAAGGTTGCAAGCAGAAGATAAAAGTGGCAACAAATGTTAATTGAAAAATGAAATTGGTAGTGCTTTTCTCTAAAAGGAATAAATAAATCATTGTTTTATTAACTCTAGGTATACACACTGGGATCCCCGGGACTCCAGCGAAACTTTCTCGGTTTTCTGAAATTGGAAGGGGAGAGATATTGACATAAAAAGAGTTTGGGATCTCCTCAGGAAGACGTGTTGACGCGCGGCAATTGTCGCTCAACAACCGAGCAGTGAATAGTCGAAGTATGGTTGGGGTCACCAGGACTGCTTGCAGTTTTGTTAAAAAATTAAAATATCGGATCACCAAAATTTTTTGTTACTATTTCAAGTATGTCTTTTCAGAATTTTCAAGAATTTTTTAAATCGGTTTATAAACAAAAGAGATAATTTTTTTGAAAAAAGAAAAGCTAAATCGAGATTTTTTCACGTTTTTGAACTTTCTTTGAACCCGTATATCTTGGAGCTCCTTAATTCTATCGACTTTTAAACATTATGGGCTTGTTCCTTGATTGATTCTCTATCAATTGAAAAAAAATTAATTGAAATATGTCCATTTTTTCTAGAGTTACAGTAATAAATATGGATAGAGTCCCCCAGGACCCAGTGTGTATACATCATCAAAAAAACTGTATACCTACGGTTAACATTGTCATTTGAAAAAAATATGAAGATAAAATTTTACTTAAAAGCTATACAAATATTAGACCGCTAAAATAAAATATATAATATGATTAATTTAAGAACGTATTTATGAACATGTCAATTTACGGTTAACATTGTCATTTGAAAAAAATATGAAGATAAAATTTTACTTAAAAACTATAAAAATATTATTAGACCGCTAAGATAAAATATATAATATGATTAATTTAAGAATGTATTTATGAACATGTCAATTTATGTTATTGCTTATGAATAAAAAATTAACGAATATAATGTGCAAAATTAAGGCGATGCTGGAAGGTCGGAAAAATTTGCACGAGGTCAATGAAACAGACTCTTCAGTGTCATGTATCTCTAAACGAACTTCTTAATATCTTCTGGTCTCACTCAAACACGTGGAATGTCCTTATCTTATGAGGATGTACGGGAGTGATAGCGTGAGAAGGTATTCACGAGGAATAATCGAGTGTTTAAGATTACATTGGTTTCTATATTTTACACAACTGTTATGTGCGTACACGAAGGAAGCGCGCCATCTTCTTCTTGTGTAATGGCTTCCGCCCCCACTAGGGGCTATACAGCCTGATGCCTGATCTGAGCGCGAGGAAGTGCGCCAACTTCTTCTTTTACAATGGCTATATTGGTTATCGCTCCTGCCAGAGTGCCAGGGACCATACAGCCTGATACTAGTTGCTCCACCTCAGGGCGACGGCACACGAGAGGCGGAAGGCGGAAACGGAACGGAAGCGGAGACAAAGCGGAGCCAATCATAGCTCTTCCGCTGATTTCGTTCCGTCTTTTCTTGTTCTCTAATGTCCCACGAAGCGGAATGTAAGCGGAAGCGGATCACGTGATGTACTCTAAAATAAGTATTTGTATGTTATTTGCA